GAGAACTAGAATCCGAGGTTCGGGAGAAGCTCGGAAAGATCCCGGACGGTTTCATCACGTACTGGCTCCGCCGCTTCCCGCTTTTACTACCGCATGTCTGGCTCCAAATGCAACAGTTCCGCCACGAGGACATTCTGCAAGCTTACTACCCTCATGCCTTCACCTTCACCCGCGAAGACGTACCCGAACTAAACGATGACCAAGAATTTGAACCCTACGAAGACACCAACGAACTGTTCGTCAAAAGCAAAGTCTACGTCGACGAGGACCAAGAAAAACCCAAGTACTACAGAATCAAAGAATCACCCCGCAAGTCCGACTGGAGAGCGGAGGCGCGCGACTTCAAAACGAGACAGGACGACGTCAGACTGAGAGACAGGCATTACAAGAAGAAAGAGAAAAAGAGAGAGGAGATACCTGTCTGGACATTGCCACCGCAGTGAGTGAGTGCACAAATTTTTATGTGATCAAACATATACTTAATGTAACTTTGGTCTCTTAGATTAAGGAGATAATGTCCTAGTTTCGTCTGCTAGAGGCGTGATTCGCCGATACGGTATGGAAATAATTGAGGTTTAAATAATGAAATAGTGAGCTTTGTTACTTTGTAAATAAGGAATAACAAGATTTGCCATCTTAAATTTTTGCCCCAACACAACAGTGAGAACTACTGAGTATATTAAGCATAGGCTAGGCCAAGGCCTTGTTTTTGGAGATCTCTTTTATCACATGAAATTAGATATTACCGTCCGCACAAATAATTATACTTGCACACGAAACGTCATGTATTATGGAGTGCAATAAATATGAACAATTGGAATAGGAGCAATTGGCCTACTATTGGTATAAGTAGATATTTTATACTGAATTTATTTATTTCTTTTATATTAATAAATTTTAATTATTACATAGCTATGACCACAGAGCCAATTTATCAACTCTATCAAGTATTACATTACTCAAAACAATTTTGTCAATTTTTTAGATGTTTTTCACAGTACACGCAATCAATTTATGTACTGGATGTACTTTTAATAAATTTATATTCTTGGTACTATTTAGTTTAGGTGAAAAAATATCTAATCACTAACCAAATGAAATGTTTTGTTATCAAATAATAAATTAGTAATTTTTAAGGTTAATAAAACATGACCTGGTTGCTGATAAGAGAATCTTCGATTTTTATATTGATGATAGTTTTTAGTATGTACTTACTATCTATACTTTTTTTGACACAATGTTTTCCTACGTAATATAGGAGACGAGACATTATTTACTGTAATAAATGTTAAGAAATACACTCATGGTAATAATAATGAATGTTCCTTTTACTATTAATTGTAACGTTATTCTGTGTTACACATCACAATATTGTATAAAATGGTTTATAATAATCCACAAATGATTTAAGTTACATTCACCATGTTTGTTTAGCATGTAATCTTAATGACATTCCTTGTAAGTTTTAATTGAGATATTATAATAAAAATGTCGATTTGAATTTATGAATGTTGGTGCTACAAGTGTCATGTATAAAAGACGAAAGAATGCAAAATTAGGTTAATTACTTTAGTTATTGTTTAAGTTTACTGTGTAGACGCACATAAGTTCTTAATTTATTAGGTACATTTCGTAAAATATTATAGAAAAATTTCTAGTTTGTACATAAAAAAAATGCAAACCGTTATACATAATTTTATTTATTTAACAACTGGAATTATTGTGACTTGTGCCCCACGGTAGTCTTGGTTGTGTAAGTCATTAATTAAGATTTGATTATTGTGTATTATTTGAAGATTTTTAATTAAAGACACACCCTATTAAATTGACTTTGTTAGATTAAGGGCTGATTTTTCAACCATCGGATATCTTTTAACTGAAGAATAAGTTTGGCACATTGACAGTTTTAGTACGGGAAACATGTCAAAATGACAATGTTATTCTTCAGTTAAAAAATATCTGACGATTGAAAAATCAGCCCTTACACAATATGTTGTTTTATGGTTCGAAAGTTGTATGAATGGAAGGATGAATTGTGCGTGAAATGGTGGAATTTTATTTTTCATAAAATTCACATAGTTTAAGAAGTAAAGACGCAAGTAAGATGATGATAATCTTTAACCTTTGACACTGGTAAAATGGATTTGGTTTCAACGAGACACAATTTCAACGGGACACATTTTCAGTCAGACACATTCCCACGTGGACACATCAATTATTGTATCATCAGTTATATGTTTTAATGAAAAAAATAAAATGTGTTAATTGTCATGGGTATACAGTGTGAGTCACGTTAAAGTGTACATATGAAAATAGATGAAACAAGACCTATTTTTATCGACAAAAAAGAGGTGAAAAAATTTTTGAGATTTTTTTTATAGAATTTTTTTTCTTCCTATTACTTATTGTAAAGAAAACGTAATAACTTTTAAACTAAGCGGTATATCCTGATAAAATAAAAACAGTAATAATGCTAAATAACAAGCGATATTTAAAAAATACATAAAATACACGAAAAATGCCAACAAATAATAAAAAATGATACTTTTTGAAAAAAATCTGCTTTTAAATTCGTGTTTTTTTGGTTATTTGATAAATTTCTCCAAAAAATGCCCCTATAACAGGTGGTTTTTATTACTTTGTATTATTCTCTGTCGTATTACCTTTGTAAAACCAAAAATCGCATGTCTCTATCCCTATCACAACGTTTGCTACAGGTAGAGACAATTTTAATTTTAACTAAAATGCTTATTTTACTTCGAAATCTTTTGTTTTTATTTGAAATCTAACTTGTCTTTATCACAATCATAAATCTAGAGCCATTTTCAGTTTCGTTGTTAACGAAGCGTTGAATGGCGCGCCCGGAGAGGCTTAGTTCAAACGATCATTGCAAACGTTGTGATAGGGATAGAGACATGCGATTTTTGGTTTTACGAAGGTATTACGATAGAGAATGATACAAAGTAATAAAAACCACCTGTTATAGGGACATTTTTTGGAGAAATTTATCAAATAACCAAAAAAACACGAATTTAAAAGCAGATTTTTTTCAAAAAGTATCATTTTTTATTATTTGTTGGCATTTTTCGTGTATTTTATGTATCTTTTAATATCGCCTGTTAGCATTATTACTGTTTTTATTTTATCAGGATATACCGCTTAGTTTAAAAGTAATTAAGTTTTCTTTACAATAAGTAATTGGAAAAAAAAATTCTATAAAAAAAAATCTCAAAAAATTTTTGACCTCTTTTTTGTCGATAAAAACAGGTATAGTTTCATCTATTTTCATATGTACACTTTAACGTGACTCACACTGTATATTCGTCTGCCGTTTGGTGTAGTGGTTCAGAACGGACTACTATGCCGAGAGGTCCCGGGTTCGATTCTCGGCCGGGCAGAAATTGAAATGATGCATTTTAATTTATGTGACCGGTCTGGGCGTTAGACTATCTATACTTATAATAAATCTGTAGGGAGGTCAATTCTGTACATGAAATATATTTTCAAAATAACTATCAGGGGGTGATTAGAGATCGATACTGATGCCAAAAATGCAATCAGTAAAATTTTTGTCTGTCTGTCTGTCTGTATATTCCTTATAGAAACAAAAACTACTCGACGGATTTTAACGAAACTTGGTACAATTATTTTTCATACTCCTGGGCAGGTTATAGTATACTCAGGAGTATCCCACGGGAACGGGAATTAGCGGGAAAATCCTTTTGTATGAAAAATCTAAACCGCTTAAGTTAGACGCTTAAAATTTGGCATGCAGGTACCTTAGTAAACTTAAAGCTTAGACAACAGGATATTGCAAAATTAGAGTTAGCGGGAAAAAACATTTGTATGAAAAAATCTAAACCGCGTAAGATAGATGTAGGGGATCAAACGGGATCCACGCGTACGAAGTCGCGGGCGGCCGCTAGTCTTTCCATATCTATGTGCGGAAACGTCACGAAATCTGAATTTTAGCTGACCTCCTACCCCTCATAAAAGCCAGGTCTATGTTATGTTTAGGTTATTTTATTGATTTATGGAAAGTACGCGAAGATGCTTATTTCTATTTAATTTTGTTTTTAATTGTAATAAAATATAGTTATTTTAATGTTTATATTTTTCATTTCACTTTCATTTATTCGACTGACTGTATTGTGTCAGTTTGCAACTGTGTCCACGTGGGAATGTGTCTGATTGAAAATGTGTCCCGTTGAAATTGTGTCCCGTTGGAACTAAATCGTAAAATGCAAGACATATTAATGAAATACATTTATTACTGTTACTAATTCATTGGATTTTTTTTGTAAACTATTCTGAATAGGATGTATTCTATTCACAATTATTTAATTTGACTTTTAACTATTAAAATATCAATTCATGTAAATACCTGATGTTGTGAGGCTCAAACCAGCACAAGATTGTTGTAAATGATGTGTGTACTGATGCTCAAACTGTTTGTATATTTGTAATATTTTATGGAAAGTAAAACAATCACATTTATAAATGTGTTTTAGTTCTGTTCTACCTCATAAATTATAGTATAAAAAATCAAATATCATTAAAAGGCGATACATGCAATAAAAACCTTTATTAATTTGTCACAATATAAAAATGATTATGATCATTATATTCAAATTACACAAAGAAAACAAAACAATTCCTAATTAATTATTATATATCAGTCTTAAGTAGCAGATTAGTAAAATAACAGTGGGCTAAGAATTGTATGGCACAAATACAATTATTTTGGCATTGGGTGAGGTGCGTTATCAAAAAATATTGCTTTGTGCAAAAGCCTATCTTTGAGCTTGTCATTTATAAAAATATACTATGAAAGAGGCATAGGGAATGTAAAATATTAATATTTGGAATGTTACATTTGGGAGTTGCTGTAATACTTTAACAAAATATAAAATGCATTTACCATGACACCACCAGTTTATATGTGGAGGTGTATGACAATAATAATGTGCTAGATCTATCATTTTTCCTTAAATATAACCACACCAAAATATAATGCTGATTCATTGGTATTGATTAAATATTACATTCTACATTAATAACTAAATCCTGATGTGACTATAAGTTACTGGCATGTTTTTCTATCAAGTCAATTATTGTCAAGTGCACCTTATCCTTAGCAATTTTCAAGGCAGACTTTTCAGACCCATTCAACATTGTCAAGTTAGGGCCATAGGAAATAAGGATTTTCGCTGCACCTATATTACCCAATTCACTAGCGTCATGTAATGGAGTGTTCCCTGTATTATCAATAGCATTAATATTGGCCCCATTGTCAAGTAGAACTCGAATCACACCAGTTTTATTATTCAATGCAGCCAAGTGTAAAGGAGTTTGCCCCTTCTTATTCACACAGTCCACATTCGCTTTGTTAAGAATGAGGATATTGCACAATTCGTCTAACCCATAACGGGAAGCGTAATGTAAAGCAGTAAACCCATTTGAATCTGAAAAATTCACATCAAAATCTGTACAAGATTCAGATTTCTTCTTACATCTTTGGCATTCACACAGAGGGTGACATGAAGAATCACTTGAATAATTGTTGCTGTCAACATAAGCAGCATAATTAATATTCATATAAAAGCAGGCAAGCTTAACATCACCATAGGATATAGCTCTCAGTATCCTATCAATTAACTTCAAATTTTCAACTGCCTTTGATGGGTTCTCCTTGTGTTTTAAATTAAGTTTTTGAAGTTTGTTACTAATGTTTTTGTCATTTCTGCAATTTAAAGCTTTAACATCTGTACTTGTGATGTGAATATATTCATACAGATTTGGTGTAACTGACTTGAGCACTTGTAAAATCTTCAAGTTATGTGCATAATCAAACGCTGTTTTGTTATATCGGTTTTGTAGAGACGGTTCTGCTCCATTTTCTATAAGTAGCCGTGCTATCCCTTCGTAACCCCATTTTGAAGCTAGATGCAAAGGAGTGTTTCCAATTTCATTCGCTGCATTGATCACAAGTGTTTTCCTGCTATGCTCTGCAAAGTAGATAAGTGCTTTGACACAATTCAAATGACCGTTATTTACAGCCAAGTGAAGTGGCGTGTGTTTGTCAATATTTACCTTATTTATATTTGCACCAGAATGTATTAATAGCAACAGTGCATTCTGATGTCCTCTGGAAGCAGCGTAATGTAATGGAGTACATTCATTCAGATCTGTAGCATCTATTTCTGCCCTCATTTCAATGAGTATTTCCACGATAGCTGCTTTCCCATGAATGCATGCTACGTGCAAGGGTGTTAGGCCATGGCTGTCTCTAGAATAAACAGTTGGAGAAGTCTTCAATAGGTTTTTTGAAATCTTACTGCAACATTTCTTGCAGTTACACAAAGGATGGCAAAGCTTCTGATAGATTTCTGTTTCACTTTCACTGTCATCATCGTCATCATCATCATTAAGCAAATCATTATCTAATGTTAATTTAAGTATATTATTGTCGTTAGCCTGAATGCTTTCCAGGTGTCTTTGGTTTCGAACTAGTATGGTTTGGATTTGTTCTGTATGATTGGCTTTGATCAACTCGAATATGTATTCGAGTGTTTCATCTCTGGAACTGGTATCAGAAGTTGATATTGACTCAGTCAGACTGCTTCGTCTTTGCCTATTATTTACATTCTCTTCAGTAAGATTGCTTTCATAGTAGTAGGATTCAGGATCAGGTGGCCCTGCTAATGCTCCAGATTGTATATGCTCTATGACAGCTTCTAAAGTAGTAATAAGAAAGGCACTTTCATCAGCATCACCTCTTCCAGCTCCACTGAAGCGGAACTCCTTCATGTAAGTAAGTTGGCTGTACCAGTTTGGTAAACCAGACTTAATTACAAGGAACACAAAAACTGGCAGCAAGTCATCAGCAGTTAGAAGAACAACATTGTTGCTGCTATCTTTCTTGTTGATCGCATTGAGAGCTTGTTTCAAGCAAAGGACCTTTTCTAGCACTGTGTTATAAGAATCTATTTTGGAAAGAATTTGTTTTGCTTTGGGCACTGCATGGTAGAGTTCCTTCTTGATATCTAAATCTCTAAGCTGGATGTCATACATGTTTCTGATCTTTTTGTTGAGATGGGAGTCTTCATAGGAGCAGCAAGTGCAAATTGGCTTGAATATTGAATCAAAAAGGAGTTGTTGCATGTAGCATTCCACAGCAATTTTAATATTTTCAAGTATCTGTTTACAGGCTTTTGATTTTTCTCTCAATCTTCTATTCTGCAATGCATACTGAAGGCACTGGGTGTAGAGTTCACTTACCGCATCTTTCAATGGTCCTATGGCAATAGGAAGTGATGGTTGCTTCTTCAAAAACAATTGAACACTGTGCTCAATTTGATCGAGAACTTGTCGGCCGGCTGCTTGTGTCCATAGTAGGTCAATACAATCATTTATAGACATGAGGTATTCTTTAGTGATTGTATTGTCGCCAACATTTTTGGTCGGTTCGAGGGGAGACTCAATGCACCATACCTTATATTTTAGGAAGTCTTCTGTATAGAATGTTTCTTCAAAAAGTATGTGGCTCTGCAGGGGCAGGGATTTAGTGACTTCGAGCGTGATAACTTTGTTTGAGACAGTCACTTGTTTTTCTGTTAGGGTACTATAGTTGGTCTCTGGTAGTTCGTCGCTGGGCACAAGTATGTGGGCACAGAAATCTTCTACAGTGAAAACCCGCGTGGTCAAACTTCCAATTCGCGGCACACATATAACCCATGACTGGGATATGCAGTGTTGGAATAAATTCGTATATTCGTTCTTCAGTTCCACAAAAAAAGGGTTATCCGAGATGATTTCGTCGTACGCACCGTCCATGGCTGTAAAGTAGAATATAACTTGCTCAGAATGCCGATTTAATGATATATATTACGAAACCGGTATCATTAATGGTGCAACTTGTTTGATGCCACTAATACTTACCAAAATGTTAATTTTTCTATGTAGAAAAGTTAGAGAAAAACACGCTGTCCTTGACAAGTTGATTGACATTGACTACAATATTTGACAGTTTTGACACTTCCATAAAAAGTTATGTCATTAGTGTCAGGAAATCAGCTGTTATTATTTTAACGTGTTGTTCCAGTCGCAGAACTGGAATGTAGTACCAAGAAAACTGGCAAAATAAAATGGAGACACCAACGTCCAAAATTCACCTATTATGTCATATGCAATGATATTATAGAACTATAGATATGTCGCCCATTTGCGACGACACTGTGACATCTCGACATATACGATTTTTTGTTTTACCGAAATTCTGAACCGCGATCTTGCGTTCTTTTATCTCCAAAAACAGGGTATTTGTTACTCCAAAAACAACAATACTATGAGAGAAAGAGACAAAATATTACGTTATAGCGCTGGCTCGTTCGGCGATCTAGTTGGCTTCGACACTGTGACAGTTCAGTTGCCACCTGCGCTTTGAGATGTGAGGTGCTCTTCGTTTTTAAGAAAAACGTGACATCTCGNCATTGGTCATATGTATGTAGTTCCTGTCCCTGTATATCGGATACAATAATACTTACACAGGTAGGTAGTTGGGTACTAAGATAGTGTCTTTAATAGCCTCAAATTACAATCCATATGATTAGCAAAAGAAGATTGTTGAAGTTGGAAACCCTAAACCCCCGGGCTAGAAACGGCCAGCCGGGCTAGGATGCGCGCCGTGATATACGGCACTTTATCGAGGTCAAAATGTATGGGAAAAATTGATAAAAAGGCCTACAGGACACAAAATTTTATGGCTTGCACCGCTTGCGCAACTTTTCTAGTTTTTTTCTTTATCCTCGTCAGTGCAATAACATTACTTAGATACCTACTAAGGAACTAACTTCTTTTGCCGACTAGGTACTTACGTACCTACTTAATGAACGACTGCTCTTGTCTAATCACTTGAGATCTGACTGAACAGAGCTGGTTATAGGTAACTCAGAGAACTTGCACCTGGTGGGAAGGAATAAAGACCTCTGACCTCTGGCTAATATTGCTTATTTTCTAGAAGGATAGTTTGGGTTAAAGAAGTAAAACAATAATAAATAGAAGTGTTTTATTTGTATCGTCAGGTTATTATCCTCTTCCACCACCTCGTCCTCCACCAAAACCGCCAACGCCTCTCCCACCAAAGCCGCCAAACCCTCTCCCACCAAAGCCGCCGCCGAAGCCCCTTCCGCCAAAACCTCTACCACCAAATCCCCTTCCACCGAATCCCCCACCGAAACCTGGTCCACCAAAACCTCGTCCACCGTATCCTCCGACAACTATTCCTCCACCGAATATTATTGGTAGAGGGTACGGACGGCGATCTGGAATAAAAAGAAAAAATATTAAGATATGGGATATTTACGGTCTCATCTAGTTATTTTTCAGTATTTTACTACTAAGTGATACCTACCTACCTAATTTTTTACGATTTTATTATATTATGCTTTACGGTAGCAAAGGATTGTAAAAAAATATTTTTAAGATTTCTCTTAAAATTTTAGGGATGCTCAATTTCCAACCAATCAGTTAAGTAAGTAGGTAATATAGGACGCTTATAAATCCCCACTTACTTACACAATGCTTTATTGTTTACTCACTCACTCAGTTTTGCCCTACCCAAGAATACTTGGGCTGAGTACCATATAACTCTAACTGTAACTATTAGACTATAGGCGCAGATCACCTATTTTTAGTTGGTCGACAGTTGTGCCCGATTTTAAATTGTATGGAGAATCGACCAAATCGAATCGGTGTAATGTAGATAGGTACGTACTTCCATACATGCTCATACTGATCAACTGCCCGACTAAACTATCGGCCGACGAAAAATCGATGGTCTGCGCCTAGGCTTACAACGATAACCGGTGTTTTTTGTATGAAGTTTGACAAATTTTTGACGTTTGTTAAAGTTAAAGTAAGATGATTAACAACATGAATATAAATTGAACAACACTTACACCCTCCATAGTAAGGTCCATATCCATATCCATATTGCCTTTTAACTCTTGATAAAGGCGCAGTATCTGGCTCTAGATGGCTCCGCTCATTTTGGGAAGATGCTGAAATTTCGCCTTTTCCCTTATCTTCCAGGGACCAGCTGTTTTGTAATAAAAATAGCACCAGAAACAACGTGATATTTATCTGAAAAGTCGCAAAGGGGAAAAAATTAGGACTTTGTTATGATCGGTTGCGAATATGCTATGCTATAAAGAAGGGGCAGGTGCATCCCCTTTATTTTTATCAGTATTAAGCCTCTTAATTTTGTCTTTACTTAACTCTACACAGATATAAAATACAATTCCGGAAATTGCTGAATAAAAAGGAATAAAGAATTGACTCCGCTCCATTAGCGCGGATATTGGTTAAAAAAAGCAATGCACGTCCCACAGGATTAAATGGAGCTTCTTTGTTTTTATGAGTGAAAATAATTCAATATAGAATCAGTAGCTACAGGACACCTAGAGACTATAAGTACTACCTTAATATCTGGTAATACAGGTATACTTAGGTAGTTGTGTTTTTATCTAACAAGCAGTTTAGATCATTAATAAATTATCCAATTTGTGGTTCACATAAAAAATCAGGCACGTAGTTAATTTGCTTTTATCTAAAATTACGCAGTAAGAGACAAAAGAGGAGAACCAAAGTGACCGACATAGCTCGCAGAATTGCTAAAACCAAGTGGCAGTGGGCGGGGCACATAGCTCGTAGAGACGATGGCCGTTGGGGCAGAAAAGTTCTCGAGTGGCGACCACGGGCTGGAAGACGTAGCGTGGGCAGGCCTCCTACTAGGTGGACCGACGATCTCGTAAAGGTCGCGGGAAGAGCCTGGATGCGGGCAGCGCAGGACCGTGCATTGTGGAAAGCCTTGGAGGAGGCCTTTGTCCAGCAGTGGACGTCATTTGGCTGAAACGAACGCAGTAAGAAGTCTCGGTCCAGTCGAGGTTCTCACAAACACTGATTTTCTTCAAACCACATACTAAGTAGGCACTTCACAACTGCTACGCACTAGAGTAGAGCTATACTTTTCCTAAACAACCAAACTAATAATTAATCTACTTACAGTGATTCCCATGTTACTTGCAATAACTTTAGCGACTGAAGTTGGTTTTTTATTGTGATGACTTTATACTGATCGGTAGTCCGCGTCTGTTTGCTAATTGAGACGATCGCCTTAGTGACTCATGTCTTATTTTCACATCTGGGGGCACGGCAGTGCCCCCACCAAGTCGAGCAAAAAAGCGGCACGGCCGTACCATCCTTTTCTCGAAGCAATTCAGGCCATTTTCGACCGCCTGTAAATTCGTTGTGGATAAAACTAGAAGGCTGAATTTTCATTAGCTATGCAGGAATTGTAAAGACACGGTATATTTAAAATTTCATTCAATTTGAACCAGTAGTTTAAGAATTATAACGGGTCAAAGTTACTTAATTTTGTCACTCACTGACTAGATCCCATCAAAAACAATACTTGTCAAAAAAACCAAGTCTCGCAACTCAGTTGTTCTACGGTAAAAAGTTGTGAGATCCATGTAATACCAAGTCCAGGCCAGGAAATCTTTAACGTTTTACATAAAATATTGACTTGGCCATCGCATGAAAACACGTGTAAATTAAATTATTTAGTGCGATGGCCAAGTCAATATATTTATGTAAAACGTTAAAGATTTCCTGGCCTGGACTTGGTATTACATGGATCTCACAACTTTTTACCGTAGAACAACTGAGTTGCGAGACTTGGTTTTTTTGACAAGTATTGTTTTTGATGGGATTTATTTATCTTATTACTTAGTTTTATGGTGTAAAGTTTTACTTCGTGTTTCTAATATAAGTAAATGAGGGATTCCCATTGTGATCTAATTTTCCGCCATATCTGGAAAATTACTTTGTTCAGTTCTAATAGGTTAAATCATTATGAAAACAATAAGTATACCTACTTTATGTCGGGATGTGGATTAGAACTCTACGACTGAAGACTAAAAGGTCTTGTAGACTGTTTATCCACACACGTAGCTGACTAAGGAACTGCTTTCCAAATTAGGAGTCAATCGGCGTTATTGAATTTTGATAAATAAAATAGTTATCCCAAAGACTATTTAACTTGCACTTCTGACTCAAAGATATCAGCATAAGTTTATTCACCTCACCAAATTCGATGTCAGTGTTGACCTTAAATGTTTGCAAGATTACGAATTTCTGTTGGTAGTATCTACTTACTTAGTAGGTAAGTGCTTCAGTAAATATTTACATAAGCATTATAACGTAAAAACAAGCAACTTTACGGTGTTAGAAACACATAGATGCCAGCATCTTTGACGTCATTAAGTGTCGTGCCCCGGCTAACGAGGTTACATTTTCGAACCCGGGCTGAGACGAGTCAAATGGAATTATGTTCGATATAGGATGGAAGGGGTGACTGGCCGGCAAAAGCGATTTACTCTATAATGTAGTTTTCTAGCTCATGTGGAAATCCGTGAGATCGTGTCTTTTACGGTAACTATACGAGTAGATCTACAGACATTTACTTACACTACTTATTTTGTTTTCGCTGCCGTTTGCTGCTCGGGAATCGAACTTCATCTTCGAGATTGATTTATTGTTAGATCACTCATCTCAGCAGTTTGAAGAATAAACTAGCAACTCCGTCTTTACAGTGATTACCTACCGTCTTTAAGTGGTCCTATAGGTAAGCTAGCTACATAAATGCCGTCAAAAAGGAACATACGAGTAAGTAACTACCTAACTAGTATAACGTAGGTACATAACTTTTCCAGAAAATCTATCGCAATAAACACAGATTTACAGTGTTGTTTATGTTAATCACATTTCACCAGCGCGCATGCGCCTACCTATCTACGAATGCTAGCGCAATCTCCATATTACAATGGCTCTAAGTATTTCGCGGTGCTTCAAAAAACCGCGGGCCTTGAATATTTTCAGTGCGCACTCACCAACCCTCTTGGGAAAGAGTGAGGTCCCTTTTACTACAGCTAGGAGGCTTTGAAAGTCCATTTCTGTATTTACAACACTCCGACCCACTTTTTCGATGAAAGCGAGCGAGTGAATTAAATTGAACTTTATAAAGCATACGAAAAATTAACCTATAATAACTGGGTCATGATTTTTTAAATTTTTATGGAACTTTTTAAGTTTACTTCCCTATGAAGTTCTTCTTACTGTGAGACCTCATAGTAATGTTTGTGAATACGTATGTGTATTATGTTCATTGATTGAGAATGAGATATTATTGTCATGACTGTTAAGTAGTTCGTGACAATATGTATAGGTAGGTAGGTATGTGCGCAATAAATGGTGCGCCAAACGTTTCACACGCACTTCTTCATTTTCGCTTAGGTGCAAATTACCTATGCTTACCTACCTAAGTCGCTGTAAACAAGCACTATTTTAAAGCCATCTTTTACTTATTTACCTCTATTATTTGTGAATACAATTTTGAGTTAAAGTAAATAACCAAGTTGAAACTTGAATGTGCTAGCACGTCTCACTCCAGCATTCTAAGGGAAGTGGAGTGAAATATGAAAATATAAAAACGCGAGTAGCCGGGTGGGTGGCAGAACATGATAAGCACAGCCCGAGAAGAAAAGCTAACACATCTATTTATTACTTTGAGATAATTTCGTTAGGGCCAGCCCCCCCCGGCAAAATCACCAATAATGAGATACGCCAATAGTTATGTTCGTCGTTCGTTTCAGCCAAATGACTGTTGGATAAACGCCTTCTCCAAGTATGTACGCCAATAGTACTGGCCCATTCATTGTCCCGAAGCAGGCTAAAGTAATACAGGGACGTGTACAAGTGTTTTAAAAGCGTAGGTACTTGCAAAATAAATGTTCCTCTGTGGTTGAGGATTCCGGGTAAAACTCGCTTCCACCTGGGTCTGAGCTTCCTTGTTGTGTTTAAAAAACTATATTAGAAAGTGTAATAATCCTAAAGACCAATTAGACGAATAAGATCTTAAACCTAATTCTACATGATACATACATATTTGGTATCTACCCACATTATTGTGTCTCTCTCATTATGCTTCGAATTCAAGTCGTTGCACTGTTCTGGGTATAATAATACGGTTACTGACCCTGTCCCTTTTCCAATTTTTATGAAACGGGCTGGCTTTTCTCCCCAAACTAGGATGATAAGTCAGAATTTAAATTAACCGCTTCATATCCCGGCTCCGCTGAAATATTTACACAACCGCACCCTGGCGTCCGAATGCCTTCACTCAGTACGTTTATCGCTTATCAAAAATGCAATCTTGACTCTTCGGAAATTTACGAGTGTCACGAATGTTAAGTAAAAGGTCACGCTTTTCATTAAAATTTTATTTATTACGAACATTATGGTAGCAACAAATATGTTTGAATTGTGTAGAGCAGCGGTCAGCAACTTTTGGCAGTCGATGGTCAAGGGTGGCAAAATGTAGTAGGGGCCGATTACATGAAATTAGTAATATAACAAAACTATAGGAAATAATTTAAGATTTTAACTGTTCCCCACTAGGTGGACCAACGATCTGGTGAAGATCGCAAGAAGTCCATGCATGCGGGCAGCGCAAGACCGGTCATTATGAAAATCCTTGGGGGAGGCCTTTGTCCAGCAGTGGACGATTACAATAATTTTACATAATATTTTCACCTCTGCATGTGTTTATTGTGCTTATGAAATAACGCTTTTAGATATACCTTTTACCTCGCTAAAGGCGTTGCCTCACAAATTTTCAACTCAAAAATTGCACACCCTTTTTCAAAGCCAGCTCACAAAGGTCGCGCGAGTTAAAAGCCCCAGTGTGTACACCTGTTCGCCTATTTCTCAGCTGGCTTAATGATTACGTTCATTAAGTATTCCGGGGGATCTCTGGAGGATCCGCTTCCCTGGAGTGGATATGCTTTTGTTTAGAGATACTTTCAAGCAAGCCATGTTCAAAGACTGATGGAGCGACAGTGTACAAGAATTTGTCATAGCATTTGCATGTCTAAATGCCTCTATTATATCTTCTATTCTAGGTAATCTTAATTTTATTCGTTATAGTGACCTTAGTATGCTAAAGTCGGCTTAGTAAGGACTAACTACTAAGCTCAAAATCCATAGCATTTGCATGTCTAAATGCCTCTATTATATCTTCTATTCTAGGTAATCTTAATTTTATTCGTTATTGTGACCTTAGTATGCTAAAGTCGGCTTAGTAAGGACTAACTACTAAGCTCAAAATCTGGTGCTGAAAATTTTCCCTCATTTTTAATCCCTGGTCGACCATCGGCAGGAGATGGTATTTTGTTAAGTACAGGAATCATCATTTGGAAAATCATTTGCATTGAGATAATACGAGTAGGTAGCTACTTACTTCACCTAATACTTGTCTCACCACTTGCTGAAAAAGTCCCTGATAGCCTAATATGAAGTTAATTAATTTTCAGATAAAACCAGCAATCTTATGCTATCTGTCATATCTGATATAGGTACTTAGGCTGAGTTGCACCACCTAACTTTAACGGTAACTTATGACGACAAAAGGTGCTTTTTGTATGAATTCTTACATATTTTAGACGTTTGTTAAAGTAAAAGCAAGATGGTGCAACCCAGCCTTAGTTACCTATCTGAAATTATACCAAGAACGAGAGAAATTGGCTCTTACTATTATTATCCAACATATAGCGTGCCATCTGCTCACTTTGTGCGATCCAGTTTAAACACTCCTTGTTTGGCACGTTTCCCGGCCAGTTGTTCACTGCTCTAATATTCGCTAACGCGTCTGTTCGTACCAAAGTCTTCTATTATAATACTAGACAAAGTGTTCAGAATAGTGATCTACAAAATTAAGTTTAAGCTCCAGAAACAAATTAGACGTACCTACACAAAAACATAAATAAGGATGGTATAGGTCTCATAGTGATATCTGTCAGAATAGCCCCCTAACGGTTCCGCCACTAATTACCAGTCACCCTGTATAACATAAGTCATGGCACAGAATAAGTAATAGTACAGGTACAGAAGGATTACTCCGCAAGACGATTTAAATAAATGCGAGTCTTGCTACGACGCGATACAGTGGAATTCAGCTCGCACAGCACTACGTACCTACAATTTTATTCACCTACAAGTTTTGTCTCTTTCTATCGCGTGCCTCTGAACTCTTCTTACGCTGT